AAAGAAAAGAAAAAAACCAAACTCACTGCTATTGAGTTGATTCAACTCATAGAGACCCCTTCTTGGGTTTTCAAGGTGGTATCTCTGTGGAAGTAGATTGCCCAGTATTCCTTCTGAGGAGTGCCTGGTGGGTTTGAACCACCAGCCTTTTGGTTAGCAGTCAAATGCCTTAGGCACAGCACCACCAGAGCTCCCTATGAATCTCATACTTCTACATTTTTAAATTTTTTTATTTAAGGCAGTTAGTCAGGCACCCTTTTAGTTCTTGGGCTGCTGATTTTTAGGTGCCAAGGAGCTCTGGTGGTGTAGTGCCTAAGGCATTTGACTGCTAACCAGAAGGCTTGTGGTTCAAACCCACCAGCCATTCCTCGGAAGGACAACTGGGCAATCTACTTCCGTAGAGATACTGCCTCAGAAACCCAAGGAAGGGTTGCCATGAGTCAGAATTGATTCGACAACAGTGAGTTTGTTTTTTAGTTTGTGGAATGCCAAAGAGGTGTGGTGATGCTGTGGTTAAGACATTGGGCTGCTATCCAAAAGGTTGGCAGTTTGAACCCACTAGCCGCTCTGCGGGAGCAAGATGAAGCAGTCTACTTCCATAAAGATTTACAGCCTTGAAAACCCTATGGGGCATTTCTACTCTATCTTACAGAGTTGCATTGAATTGGAATCAACTCAGTGGCAGTGGGCTTGGTTTTGGTTTGGTGGGCTGCCAAAGAAGGTGTGGACAGGAGGCAACTGAATAGCCTCATTTGGAGCTCAGAAGAGAAGCTTGGGCCGGAACATAGACTTCTGTTGAAGTCATGGCAGTATATGTAGCAGGTTGGAGAAGAAACTAAATTGAAACCGTGAGCATGGACAATGCTTTCAAGGAATTTGCCTGTGAAGGGGAAGCAAGAGAGTAAGCAGGAGTTGGAGGAGACATGGGTCTAGGAAAGTTATCTTTTTAAAAATAGTTATTATTAATGGGAAGGCTTATGCATATTAAAATGCTAGCAAGAAGGACAAATTGGAGAGGAAGAGGTTGAGGATACAGGAATGAAGGAGGGCTTCAAAGCACTGGCCTCTGAGAAGGTGGTGGGGGTAGGATCCACAGGAGAGGTAGGTCCTGAAAATGAAAGGCTTTTCTTCCATTAAAGCCAGAGGAAGGGCGAGGATGCAGGTAAATTTGTAAGTTTAGCGACAGGACATTTTCCTCACGTAGTTTCTGTTTTCTCCCTGACAAACCTGGTAAACCAAATGACAGCAGAATTCCAGAAGAAGCTGGCAGAGGAGTGTATAGACTTTTCTCCTTCCAGTTGACCTCAGCAAAGAACTCAGAGCAAAGGAAGTCATGGGTGATATCAGGGCCCTGGTGCCCTTGGGAGGAGACATGTGGCAGCCCATGGGAAGCTCAGTGCCTCACCAGGGATATAGAGCCACCAGACTCAGCCCAATCCTTTGTGTCCCTTGTAGAACCTGCCCTCTCTTCTGGTTGGTTTAACTTAATTACTCAAGTAAGATTCATAGCATGGACTTTTTTTTAGGCATGAGGGACTGGAAGAGCTTTGTTCTATTACTTCACATTTTCCAAACCTACTTCACACAGATGGAATCTCTTGCAATCCTATAAGGCTAAACACAGAAGAGGAACAATACCAGAGGGGCCCAGTACTTGTTTTAGTGCAGGTAGAATGGTCTTATTTCTTTGGACATCTCGATAAACCTTTCTGCAGTGAATTTGGGAGATTTCAACACTGAGAAACACTCTTACTTCATTCATTCAACAAAGGCTTCTCGAGATCTGCTGTGAGCCAGACCCTGTACCCAGTATGTCACCTTTGGCAGGTATTACCTCCTTTAGTCTCTGCCACAATTCCTCAGGGTTAGTTTAGTTTCCACATCTGTGTTTTTATCAGGGATGAATCTGATGCTATAACTTACTTGGGGTCACCCAGGAAATAGGTGATAGGTTTGGGATTCAGAGTGGGATCTTTTTTTCTCCAAGTCCTTTGTCCTTCCATTTTATCAAAGTACTTTTTAAACATAAATGTTTCACTGTTCTGAGATTTTAATTTTAAATGTTTGGTGCCCTTCAGTGCTTAAGGTTCCTTAGGGAATTGTCAAAATCCAATAACTTCACATGCAGTTTTTAAATTTAGAGTGTTAGAAGTGTTTGGATCAAATAAATTCAAGGCAGATGTACACATCTGGTTTGGTTCCTGTCCATATGACATCAGCAAAATGAAAGAGAAATAATAGTAGATTTTGTTAATAATTCAAGACAGCAATGAGAGTGTGGTGTGGGAGAAAGAAGACAGTGTTTGGAGTTAGAGCTGAGTCTGAATATTATCTTTTTACTTAACAACAGTGTGATCCTAGGAAGAGGACAGGAGATAAACTTTACAAAGTACTTGTCATGTGCTAGTACTTTACATATTTAAAAAACCTCATATAGTTGTTTAAGCTGACAGGTAAATATAGTATCATACCCACTTTAAGATGAGAAAACTGAGGTTCCAAGAAGATAAGTAACATGCTCAAAATCAGCAACTGGTATGTAGTGAGCTAGCATCTGACTTAAGTATGTCTCAACTATATGGTCCATGCTGCTCCCTTTCAAGATGCTTTCCTAAGTTACTTATGGTTTGGAAATAAGACCACAGACTCTGAATTTACACACATACACTTCTGCTGTTTACAAAAAGTTTCAGGAAAAAATAAAGGGACAACTACTAGACAGGAATTGGGCATCAACTATGCTCAGTCCTTGAACATCAGTTCTCTTTTTATATTTTATTACAATCCATACATACCCTTCCAGGACTAGCTTTGGGACCCACTGGGGAATGAGATCCTTGTCCATTTAAATAAACATCAAAAAGCCAAAAATACACATTTTAAGAGTGATTCAAGTAAATAGTTTAAGGGGGAGTAGGTGTAAGTGGTGAGGCATTTGTGATTCAGTGGTGAGATTCTCTCTTTCTGTGTGGGAGACCTGGGTTCAGTTCTCAGCTGGTGCGCCTCACGCATCGTCACCACCCAGAGTCTGTCAGTGGAGGCTTGCATGTTGCTATGATGCTGAACAGGTTTCAGCAGAGCTACCAGACGAAGATGGACTGAGAAGGAGTGACGTACTTCCTGGTACCTCACTAGTGAGGTGCCTGGTGAGGTGCTTCCAGACATCAACAAATGAAAACCATATGGATCACCATGCTTAGATCCGCAACCAGTCGTGAGGATGGTGCTGGACCTGGCAGCCTTCGTTCGGTTGTGTATGGGGTCACCAAGAAGGGGAGGGTGCAGCTAACAATGAGTGTAACTGACATTGGTCACATATACACTTGGAAAGAGACTCAGATATATACATTTTCAGAACAAGGAGAGGAGTCTCATCAACAGAAGTAAACGCTACATCTGACAGATTGGTGTATACATTTGAAAAGTACAGTATTCATTCAAGAGAATAAAAAGGGTATAAAATTTAATATCTATAAAGGATTCAAACTGTTCAAGCAAGTAAAATACCAAGAATTCTTTTGGTTAGTTTTTTTTTTTTAAACTAAATGTGTCACTTTAGGGACTGCTTTCTTCTTGAACTTTGTTAAAATGCATGTGGTGAGAATTATGAGATGACATACGTGAAGTGCCTAGGCCATTGCCTAGCACATAGAGGATTCTTGACAAAGGTAGGATTAGTTAATATCATTGTCATTACTATTACTTGGGATCTAAATTGCAAGCGTGAAGGACATGGCAGGGTCAGGAATGGTTGAGTTTTCTCGTGTGGGTGACTAGAAGGATGGTATGACATATGCAGACATGAAGAAGCTGGGAAGAGGAGATGTTTTTCTTCGTTCCTAGTTAGTTCTCATGTACTTCCAATTCCAGGTCATTGATTTTATAACCAGAGCTGCCCATTGCCCTCAGCAAAGCTGTGGCTTATAGTGGGTCCTAGGATACATTACATTCAGCCAAGCTGTGGTACTTTGGCATAACTCCCAGCCAGTAAATTTTGTCTTTGGTCATTCCCACTGTCCTCTCTGACCACCTAGTAGATCTCTGATCTGTGTCCATTGCAGCTGGCTACAGATCTTATCAAAGTTCCAGGTATGTGCTGAAAAAAAAAAATTGTTAATAATCCTGAGGACTGATACAAATTAAAAGGAAGTCTGTAACTTAGAGAGTAGAGAACTTTAAAATCTCCTGTCTTTCTTCCATTCTCTGTCAGGACTTCCAGAGGCACAAACTGCGAATGGCTGGGCATTTGGTTAAAGGCTTTTCCTTGGTTCTTTTGTATACCCTCAAGTATAATCACATTAGATTATTCCTGTTCTCTGTAGCCAGCATTGAATAGGTACCTGCCCCACTGATACATGAAATTTATATAGTTTGATTCTTCAAATTATAATGCTAAACCCACTGGAAAGGAAGAAACAAGGCCCCCGAAGATAGTAGAAGGGAAACTCTTCCTATGCGTCCTTTAGTTATATGAGAAATGAGAGGTGCCAACTCCAGGAAGGAATCTGAGGTAATCCCAGAAGCTTCTCTGATTGCACTGAGCTTAGACCAGGACTTGGTCTAACTCCAGAAATGGGGGATGTCATGTGACCAATGAAGAATGAGATCCATCAGCCAGATTTTAATTTTAAATTAGCTCGGGGCCCTGGGAATTACATTTATGGGGGGACGAGTCCTGTTAAAACATCATGCCCTCTCTCAGACAATTTGCATTGTAAGAAAGGACTTCTGGCCCTTGAGAAGCTGTCAGACTGGCATAGGCAGGCTTAATATTTTGGTGTAGAAGGCCTGAGAAATGTGTGGCCAGAGTTCTGGAGAAAAGGATTCAAGTTTTGTTTTACCTTGGGGGTTCCAGGATACACCTCCTCCTACAGAGTGAAGGCATGAATAGCCAAGGCTTCAGTCCTTTCTTGCCTCTATGCCCACATTGCAATTAGATGCTCCGGGTGTGTTTTGTATCTGATGAGAGTCACTGTTTCAATTGATTCTATGCTTCCTAGGAACTAGCCAGCTGTGGATGGAGTAAGAAGGAGAAACATAGTCTTGCCCCCAACGTTGTGGCCTTTACCCGGAGGTTTAACCAGGTAAGCAATACCCCTTGCATGTGTCTGTACAGATGATGGGCTGTTGTCCTCATAGGCTGGGAGCCCCACCAGGGTTCCATCTCAAGCATCTTGCCTCAGGTCCAAACCTCTTTCCTCAAGCCCTCAACCTTTATTCAGCCTTGCACCATCACAGCCTGTTTTCTACACAGCAGGTGGAACTGAACAAGCTTTTTATGTGTTTAAATCACTTCTGTGACTGCTAGTTATAGTTAAACTAAAGTTTGAATGCCTAAATGTGCCCTTCAAGGTCCTACAAAATGGATCTGGCTTCTGCTTACCCCTCAGTCTCATCTTTTGTCTCCCTTCCTCTGTGGGCTTCAGCCATCCTGACTTTCCTTCTCTTCCCTGATGAATTCCATCTCATCAGGTCTTCTTACGGCCTCTTCTTTCAACCAGAACACTGTTCATCTCTGTTTAGCTCCTAACCATATCTGAGCCCAAACATCACTTCCTCAGGGAAGCCTTCCCAGCCTATATGAGGTCTCTCCATCATACATGTCCTCATTACACCCCATACATGTCTATTGTGGTCCTTTACTCATCTTTCTTCATTTTGTGCAACTCTTTTAACATCCATTTTTTCTTGCCAGTCTTTGAGCTCCATGAGGGCAGGAACCATGTCTATCTTATTCATTACTACCTTGTCCAGTGTCAGGCATAAAATAGACCGTCAGTAAATGTATTTGGAATGAATGAATGAGGTACTCAGGAAACACTTGTTGAATTGAATTTCTTTGAATTCCTGATGGCCTGGTCATTGGCCCCATACTTTTACAAACAGACTCAGTCCAATCAGAACCACTGCTCTATGAATGAAGATCTGCTTTTCCACTTACTGAAATGATGATTGGGAACTAAGACCAACTGAAGGGGATGGACTTCTGAGTTCTCAGCTGGATCTGCCAGAACATGACCCTCAGTAGATGATACCCTGCAGTAGGTAGACTCTTTCAGATAGACCAAAACCCCAAATGGTGCTGCTGACAGTTTTTTCATCTTCTTTCTTGTTTTTCTGGTTTCAAATGAGGACAGTGGCCTAGAGATTGCACAGTGTGTATGACTGGACTTCTGAGTCATGGGGCCAGTGTCTCCCTTGGGCCTTCTCTCCAGCTGGGTCTTCACTCAGAAATGCCTGGTCCTGTGCATCACTATTGCTCAACTCTCTCAGGCTTCTCTATGCCTGGGCTACCATCCCATGTACAATGGGAGCCTCAGAGAGGCACCGCTTATAGTTTGAAGACTGAGACAAAAGTTAGCATTATTGTTATTTTATGAGATATATTAGGAACAAAGAAAGGCCTAGATGCACCTAGGGTAGAAGCTGGTCACCATTTGTTTTGAAAAGAGAAGTTCTGAAGACTTTTACGTCTTTTTTCTTTCTCTTAAAAATCTTTTCCTTTTCAACTGGGCTTAGTCTTTTTTTAAAAAATATATTTTTTTAAAAAAAACAAACCAGATGTGGACAATCTATCAAGGGATTCATAGTTTCCTTTACAAAACTATTTGACTGGGAACCAGCTTTTAGTCTCCACCTCGGACCAGTTGCAGAGCTCCTGGAGGAGGGGATGTTGAGGGCTCTGATGTAATCTGCTTTGTACACAGATGCCAGGTCAGCTTGGCAAAGGGTGGTATAGCATATCCTGTGAACAATTGCATTGTGTCCAGCTCAAGTTAAGTGGGTGGAAAGAGCCGGAAGTGAAGTTGCAGTTTTCCAAACCGAACGCTTTGGGAAATGGTCTTTCTGCCGGCATGTCAGCGGCTCTACAGTGAGCAGCGCCTGGACATAGCCAGGAACTCTAGTTTGAAAACTGGTCAGAGGCCATGCCTGGTCAGCCATTAGAGCTACTGAGATGAGCTCATTGGCATCCCTTTCTGGCGGCCCTTTTATATGTGAGAAAAGGTTCCTCATCAGACTCCAGATAAAAGCAGGTCATTTACCTCTCGGAGGATCGGTTTCATTATGTGTAAATGAGAATAATAATAATGCCCACCTTGCACAGTTGTTATGAAGATTGAATGAAATGATAGTGTGGAATGCTCTCAGCACAGTGTCTGGGATGAAGTAAACACCCAAATGTTTTTGAAGAGGAAAGGGTGAATGTGAAGACTGATTGATTGGAAAGAGTTTATCAGGGGATTTTGAGGCTCTTTGTGGCCAAACTAGAACCCCATTGGCCAGTGTCCATGTCAGCCCATGGGGTCTTGTCTGCTTCTCTGTGGTGTCTGAGTTCCTTAGTATTTGTTCATAGAGTGGCTGAGAGGGAGGCAGTCAATCAAGTTCACTTAAAGTCTGTTATGTGTCATGCTCTGTATTTACCACATAGCACAGAAATTTCCCGTCTTTTTTGGATCATGGGTACTTCTGAGAATCTGATGATACCATATATCACCTGCTCTCAGAAAATGCACAAATATGTAATTTTGCGTTTACTTTTGGAGTTTCAAAGCCACCTAACGTTTGAAAATGGACACCTTAGGGGTCTGTGGACAGCAGACCAAGAACTGAGGTCTCAGGGAATCAAACAAAGCTAATTTGAGTCTAAGCTTTACACCTTATTAGCTATATGATCCTGGGCTGTCTTGTGTCCTATCTGAGCCTAAGTTTCCTCATTCATAAAATGAGAATAATAATCATAAGTGGCTTTTGAGGATTAAATAATGAGACCACTCTCCCTTATGAATACATAGGCAAAAATCCTCAACATAACAGTAACAAACTGAACCCAAAAGAGTATTAAAAGGATTGTACACCATCATCAATTGGGATTTATCCCAGGAATGCAAGGGTGATTCAGTATAAGAAAATCAATGAATGTAATATACCACATCAATAAAATGAAGGAAAAAGAACCACATGGTCTACTCAGTTGACACAGAAAAGGCATTTGAAAATACCCAACACTCTTTCATGATAGAAGTGCTCAGAAACCTAGGAATAGAAGGTAAATTCCTCAACATAATAAAGGGCATTTATGAAAAACTCGTAATGAATGCCATGGTGATATTTACTCAATAGTGGAAGACTGAGGGCTCTAAGATCAGGAACAAGACAAGTACTTGCACCACTGGTATTCATCACTGCATCACACTGGAAGTCCTAGCCAGAGTAATTAGGCAAGCAAAATACACACACACAAAAGGCATTTAAATCAAGAAGAAATAAAACTATAGATACAAAACAATTGCTATTAAAATTCCAACAAAGCCTATTGTAGTGGTTAAGTTTGTGTGTCAACTTGTCTGGGCCCAGTTGAGTGGCTGGGCAGCTGAGTGTAGTTATTCCCCATGGTGAGATTGGTAATTAACTCCATGGTAGAATCTATTGGAGCAGTCGAGTAGCTGCCTTTGGTTATGTGGTCTGCTTCCCATATATAAGAAGCAGCTTTGGGACTGGTTTCTAGCTTATGGCACACTTGAACCTTGCATGTAGTCATGTTCAGCAGCCTGCCATGTTCTGCCAATCCTGGGACTTTCAATAGACTTGAATTAATGGCCTTCCATGTGGTTTGGTAACATCGGGACTGTGCCTTTGTACTTGTCAACCTTGGGCTTGTCAGCCCCAGCAGCCAGCAGCTATCTGAGTGAAGAAAAACCTCTAGCTCCAGTGGTCTGGGAGCAGGAGGAAGAGCTGAAGCCCAAGGTTGAAGAGCTTTCACCCAGCCTCGAGAGCTTGGCACTTTGAACTTGGACTTAAAGCCTCCAAACTGGAAGAGAATAAACTCTTTGTTTAAGCCATCCCATTTGTGGTGTATTCCTGTCAGAGCAGCACTAGGTAACCAGAAGACCAAAAAGCACATGAAAAGATGTTCAGCATCATTAGTTATCAAAAAATTAAAAAACCAAACTCACTATCATCGAGTTGATTCCAACTCATAGTGACACCCTTTGGGTTTCCAAGGCAGTAAATCTTTACAGAAGCAGATTGGCCAGTCTCCCTTCTGCGGCTTAGTTGGTAGATTTGAGCCGCCAACCTTCTGGTTAGCAGTCAAATTAGGCACTACACCACCAGAGCTCCTTTTTCATTAGTTATCAGGGAAATGCAAATCAGAATCACAGTGCAATATCATTTCACACCCACTAGGATGACTATCATAAAAAACAAACAAAATTGACAAAAAACTAGAAAACTCAGTAATTCTACTCCTAGTTAGATAGCAAAAAAGACTTGAAAGCAGCAATATCAATGTTCATTGCAATATTTAAAGTAGCCCAAAGGGGGAAACAACCCAAGTGTCCATTAACAGATGAATGGAGAAGCAAAATTTGGTATATATATGTAATGGAGTATTATGCAGTTATAAAGAGAAATGAAGTTCTAATACCACATGGATGAACCTTGAAAACAATACATTAAGTGTAGTGAGCCAGAACACAAAAGGACAAATCTTGTGTGATCCCACTTACATGAAATATCTAGATTAGGTAAATCCATCACAACAAAAGAAGATTAGTGGTTACTAGGGGCTGGGGGCCTGGCTCATTGGTCCAGTGGTATGATTCTCGCTTTGGGTGTGAGAGGTTCTGAGTTCAAATCCTGGATGTGCTCTACATTGTGGGAGCTCTGGTAGCATAGTGCCTAAGTCACTTGACTGCTAACCAGAAGGCTGGCGGTTCAAACCCACCAGCCACTCCTTGGAAGGAAGGTTGGGCAATCCTACTTCTGTAGTGATACTGCCACGGCAACCCAGGGAGGGGTCATTATGAGTTGGGTCTGACTCGATGGAACATAACAGTGACAACGGGATGGGGGAGTGAGAATGGGGAATTAAACAATTTTATTAATTTTTTTATGAATGTACTAATAAATATATTAACTTTTTTTTTTTTTTTTTTAAAGAATGCAGAGTGTTGGGAGTTAATGAGCTGAAAGTTAAGTTAAGGCCACACTATAGAGGGTTGCCTTAAATCCTGGCATTAATGTTAGGATTGTGTCCTGAAGATGCTGAAGGATAGAGAAAAATTAAGGAGGGATTTGGGAG